TAAACAGTTGCGGGTCTCGTGTCCAATACCTGCCAAATACCAGAACTTATCGTTTCCGTCTTCAGACACTTCATAACTGCCGCGGATTAGGTCCGAGAGAGCTCTCTGTCGCGCGTATTCGCCGCTCAACACATTGGCGTTGAAGATGTCGGCCGTGAAGTCGTAGTCGAGTTTACGGAAGCGCTCAGTCGTGGTCTTACAGCCGGACGAGTCGACCAAATAGATGAGCGACCGGTTGAGTGACGTGAAAGTGATGCCTCGGCCGCAGATTTTGGCCAAATGTAGGCCACTCTCGATGTGGCAGCTGTTGTGCGGAACCGACTCCTGGAATACGCGACCGAAACGATGGACAACACCGATATTGAGACCGGAACTGCTGACGGAGACCTTCGCGTCGCCCATCGACACGAAGACCGAGTGATTGCCGCTGATGTCCACTCGTATGCCTTTGTAGAGATGGATGGTTAGCGAGCCGTCGCACGTGATGATGGGCTGCCCGACGGCCGGCATCTGTTGGTCGGCACAGCAGTAGTCGTTGGCCACCATCTGAGGGATGGCGTCGACCGTCGCCGCCACTGAATGGCTGGGCGTTTGAGATATGAATTCTTGGCCCAAGTCTTTGCTTTCGGCCGACTCTTTGCCGTTCTCTGCGATGTTTGTGTGCACTTCGGCTGAAGAGGAATAGGTGTTCATCGCTGTCATGAAGTGGTGATCAATGAATGGTATGCAAAGAAATATGAGACGAGTTTTCCTATGAATCAAATCGAAGGGGAAATCAATTGCGAGAACCGTTTAAAAGGGCTTAAAAAGTAACTGTAAATCAAATAATGGGTTATATCTCGCGATATGTGTTGAGATGACAGCAATTCATGAGATCTGTTGTTAACATTGAATTTAACATTGATTTGCGTTAACATTAACTTTCAAGTCTAACATTGTATGAAGTTTTACAGTTGAGGGAACTGTAGGTTTTTTCTGTCTATTTGTCAGTGACTTATGAAATAAGTTATCATAAGTTAGTATTGAATTCTAGTTTACAGTACTTTGTAATACAGTTCTTGCATTCAATGACTAGACTTAAATGACAATAACTATTAAATATCGGTAAATAAAGTATTTAATTCTAGCACTCCATTAGTCTTAATGTTAAATATTAAGTTATGAGACCATTATGAGATCATCTTATATTTCAACAAAACTTTAATATTACTTAAAAGTTGCTAATTAAGTACAAAAGTAAATGATAATTAATGTGTATAAAGGATATCAAAATTAAACTTTAAAAATTTTGGTTATTAATAAGACTTATGTTTAGATAATAGTTTATCACTGATAAATTTTTAATTTATAAATGTTTTTTTTAATTTAATCAACTTAAACATACTCTGAATTAAAAATAAATTATGAAAAACGTATAAAACTTATTTATATATAAATTTTTTCTAAAAATAAATGTTATTGATAATTATTTGTGCATTTAATTTATTACAATTTTAATCAAATACTGTATTCATAAATTAAATGAAATGAAAAACAAATCAAAAAAGTATAGTGTTTTGAATTAACAAATTATTTATTATAATTAGATGTCATTATCACAAATAGATTCTTATTTATTAACTTTCGACAAATCCATCAAATCGTTCAATGATTTTATGTTTAGTTTCTGTAAACTCTTTATTATCTAAATTATAATTTAATAAAAATTAACACCTTTATCATAGATCATAATTAAATATGTTTCCAAAAACTTACTTCTCTTACAGAATTACGAATATTACTCTCATTAGTATTGAGTCCTTTGTGGACAATAAACTCAATCCATTCAATGAAATCAAAAACTCGTACAAGTCTTTCATAATCCGATAATTGTCTGAAAGGCATAAACGTGTCCATCAGAGACATGAACACCATTACCATCTCTGACGATGAAGTGCCACAAAGTTCTTTGAGTACGAGTTTCAATGCATTCAAACCTCCCGTACTGTAAGCATCTGTAAGTTTATTCCTGTACTCCTTCGGGACGTTTGTGTTGATATATTTCATGATATCATCTTTGGTTACCTTCTGTTCCAAGTATTTCAAGAAATCACAGCTAATCTGCTTTATATCCTCTTCACTCATCTGATACTCTATTGATTTGCTATTATTTAGTTGCATAACAATTGTCTGTTTATACATAACTGTGTCCATTAAAACTTGTATTAATTTGTCATTTTTGAGACCACATTGTCGAATTAGCTTGGAAACGCCAACACTTGTCATACCATCTAAAAACTTTTAAATTCATAAACATTATTGTATTACATGTAAGTTATTAAACTAATAATATCCAGCTCATATCTACCTTATATTCAATAGAATACAACATATAATTCAAATCAAGTTTTTGTTGAGAACTTTCAAAGCTATTACTAATTCTCTCAATCCATTGATGAGCTGTATTGCCGTCTAATGTATTCAATTGATTCATTAAATCATTTGAATTGTCACTGAATTTCTCATTTAAATCTTCGCGTTGTTTTGAAAACTCATTTATCTTTGAAAAATTTTATTCAGTATTAGTAAAAATAGAAAATAATTAGTAATTATTAATTATTAATTACCAAAAGTAACACAGAATTTCCGACATCACTAAAGGCTTTAATAAAACCATCGATGGTATGATCGGTCAGATTCTTGTAATTATCACTCATTTGTCTTTTAAGCGATAGATCCAAACACTCAAGACTTTTATCAAGAGATAACTCAAACCATTCATTGAGCTTTGCCGTACTTTTAATACTATTATAAAAACCTTGACTTTCAACTAAAGACTTCTTATTCAATAAGTCATTAATGTCTTGTAGACCACTCGTAGAGTAGATCATAAAAAC